CAACGCTGAAAGGTAAGAGATCTATTCAAAAGGCAAACCTCTCGCCAAGTGTTTTGAGAACCATTTATAGAGTCATAGAGTCACACAGTACAGAAACAGACCCTTCGGCCCAACCAGACCACACCAACCCTGTTCCCAAACTAAACTAGTCCCATCTGCCTGCATTTAGCCCATATCCCTCCAAACCTTTCCTATTCATGTACTTATCCAAATATCTTTTAAATGTTGTTAACTGTACCCACATCCACTATTTCATCTGACAGTTCATTCCACCCACAAGCCACTATGCGTAAAAAAAGTTGCCCCTCACGTCCTTTATAAATTTTTCTTCTCTCACCTTAAATATATGCCCCCTAGTTTTGAACTCCCTCACCCTCGGGAAAAGACCCTTGTTATTCACCTTATCTATGCTCCTCATGATTTTATAAACCTCTAGAAGTCACCCCTCCACCTCCAATGATTCAGTGAAAAAAGTCCCAGCAATCCAACTTCTCCCTATGACTCAAACCCTCCATTCCAGGCAATATCCCAGTAAATGTTTTCTGAAACATCTCCGGTTTAATAATATCTTTCCTATAACCGGATGACCAGAACTGGACACAGTACTCCAGAAGAGGCCTCATCAATGTCCTGTACAACTTCAGCATGACAGTCAAAGGTCTGACTAATGAAGGCAAGCGTGCCAAATGCCTTCTTAACCATTCTGCCCAAATGTGACTCAAATTTCAAAGAATTATGTACTTGAACACCTAGGTCTCTTCGTTCGACAACACTACCTCAGGCCCTACCAATAATTGTATCAGTCTTCCCTTATTAAAAAAAATAAGAACTAGGAACAGGTGGAGGCCATTCTGCCCTTCAAGCCTGCTCTGCCATTCAATATGATCACGGCTGATCATCCAACTGAGTCCCCTGTTCCCACTTTCTTCCTCGTATCCTTTGATCTCTTTAGCACTAAGAACTATATCTAATTTCTTCTTGAAAACATTCAAAGTTTTGGCCTCAACCAATTTCTGTGGCAGGGATTTCCACAGGCTCCCCACTCTCTGGGTGAAGACATTTCTCCCTATCTCTGTCCTAAATGGCCTACCTTGTATCCTTAAACCATAACCCCCTGGTCCCTGGTCTCCCTGGTCATCGGGAACATTCTTCCTGTGTTTATCCTGTCCAGTCCTGTTAGAATTTAATAAGTTTCCATGAAATCACCCTCCCGCCACTCTTCTAAACTCCAGTAAATATAGTCCTAACTGATCCATCCCTCTCCATTTGTCAGTCATGGCACTGCAGGAATCAGTCTAGGAAACCTTCACTGCACTCCCTCCACCCAGGGAATCAATCTGGTCGACTCTGGAATTTTTAAAATGTAACTACAGGCTGTGGTTCCCATCATTCATTCTATTGCTAAGATGTGCAGTCCTCCAGATCATGCCTGCATTGAACATTTGCTCTTCTGGCTACATTTAATGATACAGGCTGTGAACTGCATGTTATCCAACAACTCAAAAACACTGAGCCAATCTGTGATGGACAACACCACTTTGCTGTAACCACATTACTGGTATTTAGCAATGGAAATGCCTCCCTGATTAGGGCTCTTGTGGTGCAGTGATACAAGAATTAGCTTTATTGTCACATGTACTGGCATGAATACAGTGAAAAGTTTACAAGTCGCCACTTACCTTAGGTATCAAGATACCAAGGTACAGATTCTTAAGTACAAATACTTAGGGGAAAAAAAAATTAGAAAAATAAATAAATAAAAAGTCCAGCAATAAATTAGAAAAATAGAGTAGTAAGAGTTCGGGATAACCCAGAACGTGTCAGGCATCTCCTTGAGGCCAGGAGTCTGAGTCTGCACTGAGGCCAGGTTTTCGAGTCTGTGCTGAGGTTGGGAGTTCGAGTTCACGCTGAGGTCGGGAGTTCCACTCCACGCTGGGGCCGGGGGTTTGAGTCCGCGCAGAGGACGGGGTTCCATACTGGCCTTCACCCCGGACATTGCTGACGCCACCCAAGAATGGGAGGTAAAATGATAAAGAAATAAAAGAGAGAGGAATCAGATAGAAACGGACAGAGCAGATGAGCTCTGGCTGAGGAGTCCTACACCGATGCCATCTTGGAGACTATTTTTAGTGCCTGTGTCTCCGGAATAGAAGACCCTGCTTCAATTCCCAACTGCTTCAAACATGTGTCATAGCATGTATGGACAGGTTGCTTAAACGTATGAACATTGTTTTTAAAAAAAGACCCCTATTATTGTATGTGGAACAGTAACCACCTTTTCTTAATTTAATGCTTATTGTCCCACTGACTTTGTGTGAAAATTACATGTCAGTTTGTGTTCATGGACAGGCCAATAAACTTTTTTTTTTAAATTCATTCACGGGCTGAGGGCTTCACTGGCCAGGCAGCATTTATTGTCCATGCCTAATTGCCCAGAGGGCAGTTAAGAGCCAACCACATTGCTGTGGGTCTGGGGTCAATCAGGTCGAACAAGTCTTCAAACCTGTTCTTCTATTCAATTAGATCATGGCCAATTGCACCCCAGCTCCATCTACCACCTTGTTCCAATACCCAGCTCTCACTCAATTAGGAAACTTGACACTGAAGGAACGGAGATATATTTCCAAGTCAGGATGGTGAGTGGCTTGGAGAGAAGCATGTAGGGGCATGTATCTTCTGCCCCTATCCTTCTGGTCATGGATTTGGAAGGTGCTGGCTGAGAATCTTTGGTGATTTCTGCAGTGCATCTTGTTGATGGTTCCTGAGCGTCGGTGGGGGAGGGAGTGGGATGTTTGTGGATGTGGTGCCAATCAAGCGGGGGCTGCTTTGTCCTGGATGGTGTCGAACACTCATCCAGGCAAGTGGGCAGTATTTTATCACACTCTTGACTTGTGCCTTGTAGATGGTGGAGAGATTTTGCACAGTCAGAAGGTGAGTTACTCACCGCAGGATTCCCAGCCTCTGAACTGCTCTTGTAGCCGTTGTATTTATGTGGTGAATCCAGTTGAGTTTTTGGTCTATGGTAACCCTCAAGGATGTTGATAAGAGGGGATTCGGTGATGGTAACACTATGGAATGTTAAGGGTCAATTGTTGGGAAAATCTTATTGGAATTTCAATCAAAATTCAAATGTGAGACAGAGTATGATGCCCGACTTCAGATTATGTGCAAGGACACAATCAAACAGAAATGTGATCTATCAATTCAAACTCAGTTAACATAACCTGTTCATCCAGAGAACACAAGGTGGATGTAGACACAATAAATGCAGGCTATTATTTTAAAAATCTTATGTTTTGAAGTTCCGACGATTGAGATAAGAAGAAGGACCAGAATGTGCGTGTGTTCCTCACCAAAACATGTCAATATTGTAAAGTAACTGGCAAAGGAAGGGATTACACTGCCAGTAATAGAAAATATTATTCCTCTTTTAGTTACCCAGTGATGCCTGAAATGATGGTGGAAGAAAATTCAATGATGGCATTCAAAGGAGAATTAGATAGATGTTCAAAGTAAGCCAGAAAAAATGGTGGACGTGGGTACAGTTACAATGTTTAAAAAACATTTAGATAAGTTCACGAATAGGAAAGGTTTGGAGAGATATGGGCCAAGCACAGGCAGGTGAGGCTTGTTTAGTTTGGGATTGTGTTCAGCATGGACTGGTTGTACTGAAGCTTCTGTGCTGTATGACTCTATGACTGGGTGATATCTAAGAAGCACAGAATGCTTTGATTCTGGTGTTCCTTTGCAAAACAAGGCCATGTTAAAACTGAGGCAAAAGGACAGAGTGAAGCTACCTCCCTCCTACTCCCCCCTCCAACCCACCTTGAATGATGAAATGAGAATGAACACAGGATATCAGTGCCTGAGACTGCGGTGGAGGAAGGTGCAACTGAGCTTTTTCCACAAAGGAATTCAGCGGTCGATCTGACATAAGGGGTGAGAAAGCACCAACCGTTCTTTCGAGCAGATGGCACACGCGCGATAGGCCGAATAGCCCTCTTTCTTCTGCCGCGATTCTAAACAAGGGATACCACAGGACAGTGCAGCTGCTGTTAATGTAACATCAACGGGCTGTCAAGATCTTGCACGGTCATTGGTGGAAATTTTATGGGTTGTGTTGTTTTGTTTTAACCTTGTTTTTATTGTTGAATCCTTTTGCATTTCTCTGTTAACGTGAATGCGTGATCGAGTTTTCCTGATGTGCATGCGAGACGAATAGGGCCTCATAGTGTCTCCCATTTGTTGGAGCTACCCCTCTTCCTATGTCCCCTCAACGCGTTTCTCTAAAACCCGCGCGAAATCAGGCTCCTACCCATTGGCTGGTGGAGAAAGCAGCCTCCGGATATGCTGAGAGTTCGATGCTCCGATTGGTCGGCGAAGAAGCGCGTTCATTGGATGGTATTCCAGATTGTGATTGGCTGTTTCTGGGTCGGAGCTGAGCCGTTTTATGCCGTTTTTATGCAAATTGCCTGAAACAGTCTCATTGCGCGAGACTTGAATTTTCAAATTATCAGCACGATCGAACGGTTTTAACCGTTTAAATATCGATCACCCGCTATCTTTCGTTTCTACATCGCCCGGTAGAAAAACCAATTACCAACATAAACCAAACACCACATCATACACCGAAATAAAACTAAGAACTGCGAGTGCTGGACATCTGAAACAATTTGTTTCATATCATACTAAGTTTCTCCTGACTTGTAAACAATTAACCTGAACTGAAACTCTCCCACTTCAATCGGGGGTTAAACCTATTCGAAGGCACGAATAAACTGTTCTATAAAATACAATGGACTACAGATTAGAGATTGGAAATCGAAAAAAAAGTATGAGGAATTCGGTCGCAACAGCTGTAGAAAAGTTATATCTAATTTAAATTATTAACCGGAGCTGCCTTTCTTCACTGTTCCAGGGTAATGGATTTTTTTGAAAATGAGATTAAAGTTAGTTTTTAAATGGCCACACGTGGACTCCAAACAAAGCTCCTTTGAAAGAAAACAAAAATAGGACATTGATTTAAAGTTGAGACAACTACACGCATGTTTTCTTGTTACCATCTTAAATTTTATTCCTCATACTTGATAACTGTTTTGACAAATTGCTTTATAAATCTTTTAACTCTGGCCTCGAATTCACATCAAGTCATATAGTTGAAAGAACGCGAAACATGCACCACCCTGCAGCATTTATTATTGCGTTTGTTAAGACAACTACATCCATAAAGTTATTTGGAAAATGTCTTTCAAATATTGTATCTCGGAAAAAACGTTCACCAGATTCTGGAACGGAAATACACTGAGAAACTTGTTCAAAGCTTGTTAGACAATTCGGTTAAAGCTCTTGCAGAAAAAGTAGGCGGCTCTGAAAAGAGCCTTTGTTGAGTGTCGTAACTTCGATTTTTCCTTTATCCCGCGTCCTCTTCAGGCGTAAACTTTGCTGGGGTGGCCCGTTTTCTTGGGAAGCAGCACGGCCTGAATGTTGGGCAAGACGCCGCCCTGGGCGATGGTGACCCCACCCAGCAGCTTGTTGAGTTCCTCATCGTTGCGGATGGCAAGCTGCAGGTGGCGGGGAATAATACGAGTTTTTTTGTTATCCCGGGCCGCGTTACCAGCCAATTCGAGGATCTCGGCGGTCAGGTACTCGAGGACAGCAGCCAGATAAACAGGGGCCCCAGCTCCGACCCGCTCCGCATAGTGTCCTTTACGCAACAGGCGGTGGATACGACCGACCGGGAACTGGAGACCAGCTCGGGAGGAGCGGGTCTTGGCCTTAGCACGACCTTTCCCTCCAGTTTTACCACGGCCTGACATTCTCAAAAGTAAAACTTTTATTATCTAGCCACGGCTGCCGTTCTTCCCTTTTATACCTTCTGCTGGGATTAGCCTGCTGCAGTTTTGTATTGGTTGATTTACACCCCTTTGTTTTCGATTGGTTCTTCTTTCACGAGGCAAGACGAAACCGTCTAGGGTCTTATTTTAGCCAATGGGAATAGTCCAGTCGTCCATCCTTCATTAGCATATCATTGCATTCCATCATTACAGTTATTCGAAGCTGAGCACCTGAATTTTACAAACTACTGACTCTTATGGTTACATCGTCTACACGAAACGGCCATAAGAAATTGGAACATGAGTAGGCCGTTCGACCCCTGGAGAGTGAGCACGGCTGATCCGACATTTCTCACGCCCACTATGCCCTTTAGTCCTCGACTCTCCTAAAGGGAAAATATCCTCTCAACATTTACCCTGTCAAGCCCTTTAAGAATCCTATATGTTTTAATGAGATCATCCCTCATTCTTCTAAACTGCAGTGAGTAGAGACACAACCTTTGCTGACAAGACAATCCACCCATGTCAGGAAGCATCGTTATGAACTTTCCCTGACTGCCTTCAATGAAATTATACCTTGAAGAAGGGGACCAAAGCTACTCATAGAACTCCACATGTGGTCTCACCAGCGCCTTGTACAGCTCAGTAAGACTTCCCTACTCTTGTACTCCAAGCCTTTTGACCCAAGAGACAACATTCCTTTAGACTTCCTAATTGCCTGTTGCACTGTGCAATTTTTCCGTGTTTCTTTCACAAGTTATCCTCAAGACTGTTTGCGTTTCAGCTTTCTGCAGTTTTTAAAAATAATGTTATATGTTATTTTGTCTTCCTTCCCAAATAAACAACTTCACACTTTCCCATATTATACTCCATTTGTCAACATTTTGCCCACTTACTTAACCTATCGATATCTTTCTATAAACTGTATCTCTTGCAGCTTGCCTTTCCACATATTAATGTTTGTAGGACGTTGACTTCCTTAATGTATAGTGAATAGTTAAGGTCCCAGCATTGATCCCTGTGGAACCTTGCTTATCACAGATTGCCAAGCTGTTAAAGAACTCCTTTCTCCTCCTCACATCCTGCTTTCTGCAAAGATCCTATTTCATTCTCACTATTTCTTGGATGCAGTAAGCCTGAGAGTTGAGAGCAGTCCAGAATTCAGCGATGCAGGGCCAAAGAAACTGAATAGAAATTGGGAAAATAAAATATGAAAGTAAATGTGTGAGACATATGTAAAACATGTATCATAGCAGAGATAGTTGGAACTGCAGATGCTGGTGAATCCGAGACAACAAGGTGCAGGGCTGGATGAACACAGCAGGCCAAGCAGCATCATAGGAGCAGAGAGGCTGACGTTTCGGGCCTAGACCCTTCATCAGAAAAGGTGATGAAGCATGTATCATAGCAGCTTCTTTTTGTCTGTAAAAAAAGAAAAAAAGATTAGCAAAGACATTTGGAAGTCCATTATAGACAGAGAAGGAGAATTTATAATGGGTAGCAACAAAATGGCAGAGGAATTAAGCACATATTTCATCCCATTTATGGTGGAACAAGTAAATAAAATACAGTTTCTAGAAGTCGTTGAGACTCAAGGGTACGAGGATGAGAAAGAGGAAGAAAAGATTTTTCTTTGTATGGGAGGTGGGTGTCACTGGAAAGGCCAGCATTTGTTGCGCTTGAATTGCCTAGCTGTCTGGGGCATTTCAGAGGAAAATTAAATATCAACCACATTGTATAGAGCTGGAGTCACGTGGAGGCTATACCAAGACTCGACAGCGGATTTCTTATCCTAAAGGGCAGTAGTAAATCTGATGGTTTTTACAGCAATCAATCAGTTACATAGTCACTATCAAGCCAGTTTTTAGCTCCAGAATTATTTCTTTTTATAACTGACCTTGAATTTCACTACCTGCCATTGTCGGATTTGGCTTGAGATTCTGCATTATCAGTCCAGTGACATTCCTAGTATGTCACCACAGCTCCAAAGTATTACTAAAAAAGTAATATTGGAGAAAATAATAGGACTGAAAGTTGATAAATATGCTGGCCCTGAAAGATATACACTTCAGAGTGTTGGAAGAAGTGGCTGCAGATAGAGCATTGATCATCACCTTTCAATTTTTTACAGATTCAGGGAAGATATCTGTAGATTAGAAGATAGCAAGGGTCACCCCACTATTTAAGAAAAAGGGAGAGAAAAGCAAATGGGAATCTACAGACCCATTAGCCTCGTATCAGACAAACTAACTAATCAAATAATGGTAGGATTAAGGGGAGCCAGCATGGATTCTCAAAATGGAAATCAACTTCATCAAAATGTTTTCTTTGAGGATACAACTTGTAGTAAAGACAAAGGAAAAATAGTGGAAATGGTGTGCTTGGATTTTCAGAAGACTTTTGATGAAGTCCCAAATGGAAAATTAGTAAATAAAATTAAAGTGTATGAGATTATTTACTGGTAATACACTGGTGTGGATTGAGAACAGCTAAAAGACAAAAAAAAAGGCAGACAGCCTGAATACATACACAGGAACAAAAACAAAGTTGCTGGAAAAGCTCAGCAGGTCTGGCAGCATCTGTGAAAGAAAAAACAGAATTAACGTTTGGGGTCCAGTGACCCTTCCTCAGAACTGATGGTGGCTGGGAAAACATCAGCTTATATGCAGAAAAAAGGGAAGGTGTAGGGAGTATATGATAGGATAGAGCCTAAAGAGAGAGAAGAGCAGTTGGACAGACAAAGAGTTGTAACAATCAGGCTGGGAGCGTTGTTAATGGGGACAATTACTGACTAAAAAAAGGGGGTGTGTAATGGCAGGCTATGTGGTAACAAGGCCTGGCGTGTGGGGTGGGGGGCTGGGACATGGGAGAGTTTAGGCCCTAAAATTATTAAACTTGATATTGAGTCCGGCGGGCTTCAGGGTCCCCAAGCAGAAAATGAGGTGTTGTTCTTCCAGCTTGCACTGAGATTCACTGGAACACTGCAGCAAGTCAGAGACAGAGATGTTGGCCAGGGAACAGGGTGGTGCATTAAAGTGGCAGGCAATGGGTAGTTCAGGGTCTTTTTTGCGAGCAGAATGTAGATGTTCTGTGAAGCAGTCGCCTAGTCTATGCTTCGTTTCCCCAATGCAGAGGAGACCACATTGTGAGCAGCAAATGCAGTAGACTAGATTATGGGAAGTGCAGGTGAAGTGTTGCTTCACCTGGAAGGTATGTTTGGGCCCTTGGATACTGGGGAGGGAGGGTGTAAATGGGCAGGTGTTCCCGGTTACAGGGGAAGGTGCCGTAGGGGTGAGTGGGGGGTGGGGGAGTTGTTGGGGGTGAAGGAAGTGTGGACCGGTGTGTCCCGGAGGGAACGGTACCTGCGGAAGGTGGACAAGGGATGGGAGGGGAATATGTGTCTGGTGGTGGCATCTTGCTGGAGGTGGCAGAAATGGCATCTGATGATCTTCTGGATGTGGATGCTGATGGGATAGTAGGTAAGGACAAGGGGAACCCTATCGCTGTTGCAGGAGGGAAGAGAAGGGACGAGGGTGGAAGTGCAGGAGATGGGTCGGACCTGGTTGAGGGCCCAGTCGACAACGGAGCTGGGGAATCCTTGGTTGAGGAAGAAGGTGGACATTTGAGAGACTCCCTTGTAGAAGTTGGCCTCATCTGAACATATGCGACGGAGACGGAGGAACTGAGAGAATGAGATGGAGTCTTTACGGGAAACAAGGTGTGAGGATGTATAGTCCAGGTAGCTGTGGGAGTCATTGGGTTTGTAGTGGATATTAGTGGCCAGTCTATCCCCAGAAATGGAAACAGAAATGTCAAGGAAGGGAAGGGAGGAGTCAGAGATAGACCAGGTGAAAGTGAGGGCAGGGTGGAAATTGGAGGCAAAATTGATGAAGTTTTCCAATTCCAGATGAGAGATGGAAGCAGCACCAATGATATCATCAATATATCGGAGAAAGAGTTTGGGTGGGGGCCGGAATAGGACTCGAACAAGGAATGTTCCACGTACCCCATGAAGAGACCGGCATAACTGGGGCCCATGCGGGTACCTGTAGCCACCCCTCATGCCTGAAGAAAATGAGAGGAGTTAAAAGGGAAGTTGTTGAGGGTGAGGACGAGCTTGGCCAAGCGGAGGAGGGTGGTGGTGGATGGGGATGCTCCAGGAAGAAGCGGAGAGCACTAAGCCTGAATACATGGAACATTCTGATGAAGAAGGATATTACAAAGGCAGGACTTATATAAAAATAAAAATATAAAAGTACAGTCTTCGGTGGGGTTGTGGAACAGAAAGGTTCAGGTACATAATTCTTTGAACTCCGCGTCACATGTAGACAGGATGGTGAAAAAGGCATTTAGCACGCTTGGCTTCATTGCTCAGACCTTTGAGTATAGGAGTTAGGGTGTTATGTTGAGGTTTTACAGCACGTTGGTGAGGCCTGTTCTGGAGTACTGTGTCAAGTTCTAGTTGCCCAGTAATAGCTAGGATATTATTAAGCTGGAAAGGGTTCAGAAGAGATTTACCAGGATGTTGCTGGGTATGGAGGATCTGTGTTACAAGGAGAGGCTGGATAGACTGGGATGTTTTTCACTGGAGGGGTGACCTTCTGGATGTTTAAAAAAATCATGAGGGGTAAAGATAAGGTGAATGGCAGGTGTCTTTTCCCTAGGATGGGGATTTCAAGATTAGGGGGCATATTTTTAAGGTGAGAGAGAAAGGCTTAAAAAAGACATGAGAGGCAATTTTTTAAACAGAGAGTAGTTCATGTGTGGAATGAACTTCCAGAGGAAGCGTTGGATGTGGGTACAATTGCAATGTTGAAACATTTTGACAAGTATATGAATGAGAAAGGTTTGGAGGGATATGGGCCAAGTGCAGGCAGTTGGGACTAGTTTAGTTTGGGATTATGGTTGGCATGGACTGTTTGGACCGAAGAGTCTGTTTCCATGTTGTATGACTATATGACCATGACTCTATAATTTAACTCATGGGATCAGTGCTAGGTCCATAACTGCAGCTGATCTCAATGATTC